GAAATTGAACGCATGCGAAAGTGGCTTTAGTTTCTCAGTGCTGTGCCACCAGGGAGGGCCAGCTCAGGCTTCTTTATCAAGCACCATAGTCTGGGTGGCCTAAACAATGGAAAGTCATTCCTCACTGTTATGGAAACTGGGCAGCCCAAGAGCAGTGAGTCAGCTTTGCTAGTAAGGGCCCTTCTAGAAGTCAAATGCCTTCTTGCACTAATTCCATTCACTGAGGTTTATAATCCCCAAATACCATCCCACTGGGGACTGGGATTTTAACATGTGAATTTGAGGGGAACAAAAATATTCAGTTCATAGCAGCAGGATGCAAGAGTCACCTCCGTTTTCTCACTCTCAAGAATTGCTTTACTTCACATTGCTTCATGGTAATGTCTTGAAAAACATGGTCTTATATATATTTCAGTCAAGTTTTTTGAGGTGGTTATAGAATTGAAGATAAATTGATCCTTCTTACTCCAAAAATAGCTATATTTCAGAATAAAAATTTAGCAGCTGCTATAACACTACTAAACCATTGTATTTACCCATAGTGAAAGGAGTTCAGCTTTACCTTAAATAAAACATTTCTGTACTTCTTGTAAATAATAAGAAATTTCCTGAATATGAGAATATATCAATTTTCATTTTGTCTAGAGAGTGGATTATATTAACAATTTTATTGTAGTTGGCTTTGGAAATCCTGGCTGTAACTTCCTGTTTTTTCCGTTCCCTATACATCAAAATAGAAAAAAACCTGCCTCTTTGAAATGGGAAATATACACTCCTCTACAGAGTATCCTAGGTCCCTTGTTGAATGTTGGGTGTGGCCCAGTTTACTCCTTCCTGCCCTCACCCATAAGAGGACTTGCTAGAAGGACATTTCCCACCCACATGCCATCTGGTTCTCAACCTTTCCCACCACTAACTAACCCCAGACAAACAAATGCCACTACAGAGTAGGAAAATAGCGTGTTACTGGACAAAATTCTGAAATAAATTTAGATTGAATTAAGAAACATAAAGTCTGTCCAAGATCACAAAGAACTCAGCGAGTGTGTTCCCTGGGGTGTCCAGCTGGTGCCATTCCACAAGAAACAGATTTCCTTTCTTTTAGGATGCTGACCGAACTCGTGAAGCACTTTTCCTGAAACTGGAAAGCTATCAAGTTGTGTCCTGTAATTCCTTTCTTTCTTGTTTAAATATATCACAGTCACAGGCCCTCTCCGATGTTATGAGTGTGAAGATGCCAGTACTGCACTGTTAGCATGTTATCATGTCAGTATGGTTCCAGCTTTAAAATTAAACCTCGCTTTGTATCCATTAAAATCCTCTGGCTAGTGACCCGATGGCTGCAGATGAATTTTTAATATATTCTTTCTATTTTCAAGGACTGTATCCTCCCCCATGCTCAGCCTTTGCACGCAAACTGCTTGCATTCACCTTTGTGAGAATCTAAGGTCACTCACTGACTTTTTCTAGTTCTCTAACTAGAGTTATGCAGCTAGTAAGAAAGAAATTGTGATTGGGGTATGAATTTGACAAAGGGACAGCATTCTAGGTTTTAGAACATACCCCTCAAACCTGTGATCTGTTGAGATTGTGTAGAGTAGATCATCAGTGTGCTTAGTGGTAAGACCCCTGGGCAAGGAGTGAGGACCTAAGACCCACACAATTGGGAGCAGCCCTCCTAAAGGTGGAAAGCCTGAGGCCAAGGCCCGGCCTTTGCTCTCCCACAGGGCCTTGATCATATCACTCATCAATGTAATGCCAATAAAAGTTGTCCACGCACATAATGTGAAGCATACATGCAAAACCATCTGTGTCTATAGGTTGTGAGAAGATGACAGGTGTCTCTGCTATACATTTCATGTAGAAGAATTGCATGGAAGATAAGACTCATCAACACTTGGGAGGTTTACAATAGGCAGCCAGCAAAAACACTAGCATTTCTGCTCTCTTTATATTTCCTTTATGCTTCCAATACTGTGTATAAGTCCTATTTTCAATGTCGTTGTTCTTGATATGAATTGCCTGATCCAACTAGATAGAAATCAGAAGGCTATTATAGGAAATCAGAACTTTACATTTTTTGGAAAGCAACTCAACACAGGTAAATCGGTGAAGTTGGCAGCCTGCCTGCCTTCTCCCCTCCAGAAGCAATATACACAGGAACATTAACAACTCAGATTAGGGGCCCTGAATGTTCTCCCTCTAACCCCCACAAAAATTCAGGTATAGGGCCCTCCCTGGTGGCGCAGCGGGTTAAAGCACTGCACTATGAAGCTTAAGCCACTTCAGCATGAGTTTGATACCCGCCTGCCCTGGAGGAGATCCACATGGTGTGGCAGACCTCTCCTACCTGCCCACTGCTTCCCTCAGCAGTGTACTTCATCGATCTGTCTGTTCTGTTCCTCACTATGTCCCTGGTGAATCCTCTCACCCTCCTCATCTCTGGCCTATACCCCAGCTCTGTATGAATAAATAAATAAATCTTCAAAAAAAATTTCAGGTATAAGTTATAGTCCGCACTCTTTGTGGGTGGGTTCACAACCTACTGAATCTACATTGCAGAGTCCCTTGGTAGAAAAAGTAAAAATTCACATATACATGGACCCTTGCAGTCCAAAGTATGTTGTTCAAGGGTCACCTGTAAACACTGCAAGGAACATAAAAGGAAATGATGACGAATCTTCTAGCACAGGAAAATGTTCTTAGGGAACAGGGACAGGGCATGTCCTTCATTTAAAGTATCCATAGTCAGGCCTCACCTGTGGCCTAAGGCATAAGTCTCAGCAATAGCACTGTAACGGCCTGAGTTCTATCTCCAGACAGGAAGCTAAACCACATATGACTCAGCAAACTTCTGCTGTCTTGTGCTCTGCTCCTCACTCTGTTTCTAGTGAATCCTCTCACCCACTCTATCTTTGGTCTACACTCTCATTCTTTTACTAAAAAAAAATTAGATGAACAAATAAAGTGTGCATGGTCACCCAAAGGAAAAAATGCTACAATGTCAAAATATTCCAAAGTTGTAAAACAATAGTACTTTATTAATAAAAATAAATAAGTAAGGTGTGCGTGGTCAGTCTTGCAGAGAAATATGGATGGAAACGATCAGAGTGAGTCATCACCAGTGCATCTCATCCCAGCGCTGGCCAGGAGTTTTTGTTTTTTGTTTTTAAGATTTATTTATTTATTCGTACAGAACTGGGGTACAGGCCAGAGATGCGGAGGGTGAGAGGATTCACCAGAGACAGAGCAGGGAGCAGAACTGGCAGATCGACGAAGTACACTGCTGAGGGGAGCAGCAGGAGAGGTCTGCCTTGCCATGTGGTCACCTCCGGGGCAGGCGGGGATCGAACTCATGCTGAAGTGGCTTAAGCTTCTTTGTGCCGTGCTTTAACCTGCTGCGCCACCAGGGAGGGCCTGGCCAGGAGTTTTACAAGCAACATGTGATGACTGTCTCCAGAAGCTGTGCATCTCATTAACCCCTGACTTCCTAAGCAGATTGGTAGTTTAGCTTCGTTGTATTTTGCTTTGAAGAAAAGACAGCAGATACAAACAAGATCCTCTTTAATTTTTAATGAAACAGGTAGAGCTGGCTAGGTGTCGGTCATCATCTTTCAACATAAGCTCGCCACCCCCATGATGGTAGAGAGCCAGCACAGCTATCTTTATGTACCATCTGGGGATGTGCTGACATAGGGACGGATAGGACAGTGACAGGATAATACTGCAGAAAGTTAGCTATGGAAGTTTGCAGCACTAGAAAGCAGGTTATTTAAAGTGAGAACCATAAATGTGCCACTGACAGCAAAGTGGTTCTAGCACTAGGCTAAGTTATATTTGACGTATTTAGAAAATGGCAGGATCCTTTCAACTAAAAACCTTAGAGAACTCCACAGCCCATCTTCCCTCTGTGTTTCTTGCCTAGAGTCAATATTGAACCCAGGCCACAGCCTGGGCTAAGTGGTTGAATATAAAATGTGCGGTCATCCAGGAGTCCCAAACAAGGATTGGTTTCATAGGTACCAACCACCATGTTCGCACTTGGTGTCTTGACACCAAATGTTGATGTTCTCAGGGGAACAGCTGTCTTGGTTCAGCATGTCAATTGGTTAGTAGCCCCAGGAGTAGAAATATGAACTGAGTATCCTATTACTCAATAAAACACTGAAATTTGAGTATGTGAATGAAAGGAATATTATAATAACATCAATATCAAAGAAAATTCAAAGAATAGGACTTAGATAAGAATACCAGCTCCTGCTATATTGCTCATTTACTCTTGAACATAATTGCTAACCTAATAATTATAGTAAAAACAATAGTATTGATAATGAGAGGCTAAATCTGAAGCCCAAAATACATGCCAACATGAGTAGTTACTAATATCATCAGCTCAGAGGTGACTATATGCTGTTGATATCGATTATTTTTAATTCACTGATCTGGGTGTTTTATTATCCTTTTAGATTTCTCAAGATTTCTGTTGTAATAGATAGGCACCTGATCTCTCAACAGATTAATTAAAACACTAAAGTGTTTTATAAAATCAGCAGCTACAACAATAGGATGGTAAACAGTAATCACAAGAAAAAAAAAATCTACCTTGGATCTTAGGCTCCATTGTGGAATTTAATGTGGGAAATAAAATCTCTCAAATTTTGTTGGTAATTATTTCTCTTCTATATCCAGTATTGAGAATGTTGGCATTAAGTACAGAATAAGATTGCTTTGACTACAACATACAAGTTAATCTCCTGGAATATGTTCTGTACTTACACAGTGACAGTTTTTATGAAGCAGTAATTCATATCACTTATTAATTAAGTCATTAATAGCTTGATATGTTTAGGTGAGATCAGAGACTGCAATCTCTGATCTAAATTTAATTAAAATTAATGTGGTTGTCATTAAATTAACAATAGTATTTAGATCAATGAGCCCTTCTTCCCTTAAAATATGTGACCACTTGTATGTTTGCAAGCTCATTTCTGTGTCTTGGCATATCAGGTCCTGAAGATGCTACTATTTCCTGGTTTGTTGTACATGTTACTCCCTTATAGTCAGGAAGCAGAAGGGAAAACAAAAGAATATTTGAAATATTAAAGTTGGTGGGCCCTCCCTGGTGGCGCAGTGGGTTGAGGCACTGCACTGAGAAGCTAGAGCCACTTCCTCATGAGTTCGATCCCCACCTGTCCTGGAGGAGATCCACATGGCAAGGCAGACCTCTCCTGACCCGCCCACTGCTCCCCTCAGCAGTGTACTTCGTCGATCTGCCT